AAAATTAAAAAGTAATATTAATGATACCAACAATAAACTATCTACTAAATTATATAAAATTCTACTAGCCCTCAAAAACCAAAGAAGAGTCAAATCGAAGTGGTTAGACTATATTCAAAGTCTAATAGAAACAAACGGTTTTAACAATATATGGTTGAACGAAGACAGCGTCAATCATAAATGGTTCTCACTCGCCTTCAAAAGAAACATTATAGATCAATATTTCCAAACCTGGAGCTCAACAGTTAATAACTCCACAAATTTCATGTATAAAACAATTAAGCATAACATACAACTAAATAAATACTTTACAATAATCCCAAACTATTACTGTCAAATAATAACACGATTCCGCACAAGAAACCACAAATGTCCCATTGAGGTGGGTCGCTATCATAATATACCAATTAATGAAAGAATTTGCTTCCTATGTAATCACGGAATTGGGGACGAATATCATTATATTTTAGAATGCCATCACTTTAATGATAGTAGAATTAAGTTTATAAAGCCCTACTACTACAACAACCACAATACACTCAAATTTGACCAACTTTTCAATACTGAAAATAAAATAGAGCTAATTAAACTGAGTAAATTTATTGAAATTATCACCAAAACAGTAAAAACTTATTACACATGAAGTTTGATAATTACAACTAAATCAAATTAAGACATAAGATATGTAATATAAATAGGAAAATAAAAATAAACCATTTTATATGTACTTATTTCATACCCAGTCAGTAAGATCAAAGAAACTAACATATTACTATATATAAATAATACATGAAGTATATGTATGTACTATATTATACATAAACATGTCAAATGTACTGTACAATATATGATGTAAAGTTATAAATTGTATTAACATTATTAAATTACATATATATGTATAATATTAAGATTGAAAACTCAATTTATAGACCTATGTATCCATTTAGCTGATTCAGATGTACATTTATATTGTTTTCTTTTTGCCTTATTGCTATTTTACTGCATTTGCAGTATATTCTTTACACATACATTATTATTACTAATTAATTAATTTCTTTTTTGCACATAAGGATGTACTCAGTATGTTTTTTGTATTTTTTGGTTGTTTGTTTGTTTATTTTTTCTATTATTAATAGTTTTTGTTTATTTATTTATTTATTTTTTTAATCTTTATTGTTTAACATCCTTAACATTTATCTATTATTATTATCTCATAATGAGACATATTGTGCGAAACATTAATGAATAAATGAATAATTGAGTAAATGAATGAATAAATAAATAAACAATTTTAATTTTACATAATCATATCAATGTATGTGTTCATTTAATGTATATTTTTGCTATTGAGATTGTTCCTTACTTCAATACTGTATATACATAAATAAACCAGACAGTAGGTACTGAAAGTTGGTAAAATATTTGAAGGATGATGCTAAATTTTTCGGAAAATCTTTTTATAATAGAACAATTCAAACACATGGAATCATTTTGCATATTGCTGTAACATTTTTTATGCACTCTATTGTAACTACTGTATTGTTCTAACTTCTAAGTAAATAAATATTATGACTAACTTAGAAAATATTTATACAATTCTTTACCATTTAATTTTCCATAATACTTCGGATATATATTTCTTTGCTGTCACTAACATGCATTTATACTGTACAGGACAAAGTTTGTTTAAAAACTTGAAGGAAATATTCATTTTCAATATTAACAAATATTTACTGTAGTTTGGAAAATGCATTTCAATTGAAAATTCGCGCTCACTAGATTTAAAATTCATATTGTTGACAAGAAAACTGCCAGTTCAGCAGCCCTTCAAATTTCGCTTTCGTTTAAAGGACTGTACATAGTGGCCTGTTCACCAAATTGGACGGCATGCACAATCCCTATACGTGTAAACAACTCAACAAAAATAATAAATAAAAATAAAATTCACTTACCTATTTCTACAGTTGTTATACATGCCAACAGGAGATTGTGAGCATCTTATAATCGGACCCTCTTATAAATAATCCATCAAATAAATTTCAAAATGACACAGTTCACTCACAGACACTTGGGGTTTGGAGCTCAAAACGCCTTTAAAATCCAAATAAAATGCATATTTGTCAATCCCAGCACATGTACTGATCATATATATCAAAAAATCTTAATATATGCCGTTTTGAAAAAAAATCATATTTCAACAACTATAATAATACACAAGATAAAAATGTTCGCCGGAAAAAATCCGCACCCCTACCGTCATAATCACCATGTATTTTATTCCATTTCCAATATTTTCACATAATCCTTTGGTCCATCGACACAGAAGATATAATTCTTCACGATGATGGTCAATTTTAAACTTCAACGGTAATATAAACAACGCAACAGCCGAAATAAACATCAATATTATCGCCGTTTTTTTTCAACGACAAAATCTTTCGATAAATTCAATGGACCAGACGGCTATGAACGAGGCTATCCGATTATGTGGTTCCCAAACTTAAAAGCGCTGCGCATTTTGCACACGGCAAAGCTGGGGCCACATAATCGGATAGCTTCGTTCATAGCCGTCTGGTCCATTGAATTTATCGAAAGATTTTGTCGTTGAAAAAAAAACGGCGAGAATATTGATGTTTATTTCGGCTGTTGCGTTGTTTATATTACCGTTGAAGTTTAAAATTGACCATCATCGTGAAGAATTATATCTTCTGTGTCGATGGACCAAAGGATTATGTGAAAATATTGGAAATGGAATAAAATACATGGTGATTATGACGGTAGGGGTGCGGATTTTTTCCGGCGAACATTTTTATCTTGTGTATTATTATAGTTGTTGAAATATGATTTTTTTTTTAAAACGGCATATATTAAGATTTTTTGATATATATGATCAGTACATGTCCTGGGATTGACAAATATGCATTTTATTTGGATTTTAAAGGCGTTTTGAGCTCCAAACCCCAAGTATCTGTGAGTTCACTGATTCACATTTATTCCAAAAATGAATTATTGCCAGTTTCCACAGACCGCAGATAACATTTAATAACCCAGTACGAAGATGTCAACTTCTACCCTTAATCAGATTACGTGTGATTAAGTCCGAGACAGACAAAATCCACGTTTTCCATGATATTAACCTCATCCTGACACAATGACACAATTTCTGCATAACCTGACTGACTTGCATGACATAATTAATTTAATGGGTTTACACGGTGTGTAAATCAATCGACCAATCAAATAACCTGATTAAAATATCTACAGACCGGGTCGCGCATTATTAAAATTCCATGAGTATGACTAGAATGGACTGGTATCAATATCATTAATTACGGAATAGATTTTTTTTTTCACTTTCGTATAAATTCCTTCAAGATCTTAAATAAAAGTTGTCCTCTGTGATTACGTGTATTATTAGAATTTGTTCTCATGTCTATGTATATTACATACTGAGATATATTTAATAAAACTTGAAAAAAAGAATAAAAGATATTTCAAACCATTTCAACCCTTATACTGCTTAATAATCGTCGTAAACTTTAATTGTCATGTGATTTACGATAAACTGCTATCAACTTTTTAATTACTGAATTAAAGATACTACCGGGTTAAATTTTTCACACGTCATTTCACGATGATCAAAAGCTGCATACCTTTCTATTGTTGCACATTATATTTGTTTGCAAGCAAACAGTATATTTGTTTGTTATGACAATATAGTTTTGCGGTGGCGAAGCTGAACAAATGTTAACGTGCGCAAAAATAGGTAGAGAAATGTGACTTAGACTTTGATAAGACGAGTCGCAGAATTTAAATCACGTTTTGTCCAAAGAATGTGCCGCAAAAATGAAGTCCGCAGAAATAAAAACATGCCAAAATTTGGAAAAACCGCAGAATTTGGAGCCCGCAGAAACAAAACACTTATACGGTACTTTGTTAACGTCCGGTATGAGAAGGTTTGTAGAGGGTGACCATTTATTTATCTGGTCGCCTTTCCAGGCGCACTGTTTAAAACCTTTGAGACCCCATAGTCTTTTTCCCTTTTATAATTATAAAGAACAAAACTTGAATGTTACTGGTTCGTAGATTTAATTTGTAGTGGACGCATGATCAAACAATATTCTTTTTTTTTTAAATAAAGGCAAACTTTGAAAACAGCCCCTCATTGTGGTAAATTTTAGGGATATTTTGAATAAGTCTTCTAATAAAGGAAAATGGTCAAATAATTATTTAATGTGAAACGAATAGAAACGGTGGTTTCTTTAAATGACTGTAGTATTAGAAAGTGTGATTCTATAATAAAAAAGCAATACAAATTTATCTAAATAACTTTTTAATATACACAATGTATCCACAAATGTTTTAATTGAAAATTAGGCTTAACTTAGTCGTATCTTATAAAAGAAAAACAAATGAATAAAATTAAAAATCGATATTGCTCGAGCTCAAATCGTGTATTACGAAACCCTTTATCTAAGACCTTGTTGCATAATGAAAATGATTATTTTGAAAAAAATGAGGTAGTGAAAGATCTGAAATTGTGCGTCAGTCCTATATCAAACATAATTTTCACGTTAGTTAGTTAGTAAGAAAAATATCAGATAATTATCTGTATAACTAGTTAAATTTTCAGTTAAGAAACGCAATGGATATGTCCAAAACATTCCGAATTATCTGTTTACTAAAATGTATCTAGTTATACAGATAGTTATCTTGTACTTTAGGCTAATTAACACAAAAAAGTTATAGAAAAAAACAGATAATTATCTATTATTTAACTGGTAAGTGTTCGTTTTTTGAAGTTATATACATATTCGTTATTTATCTAACAGACAAGAAATATTTTATTTTGTGTGATAAATATCTGTAAATTATTTATCGTGCTAACACAAAAACTTACTAGTTAGCCAGATAGTTAACCGATAATTATATGGTTACTGTTGGCATAAATGCGGTACCAAAGTGGTTTCATCAAAGATATTTATACATTGACTTTTAAGGGGTATCTATGCCGGTTACTGCACGACAGCGTACTCCTGTCAAGGATCATGTTCAACTTCGCAGACTTATTACATAAGTTGTGAATGGTTTGGATGGGGCAGATGTGCTAGATCCCGGTAAATATCATAACCATTCGTTTTATTCTCATATGCTTCTTTTTTATCAATTTAATAATGTTTGCATAATTGCTTGAACATTTTAAATGACTTTATACAGCCATAGAAAATATACTGCCAAACCTAATTTGATCAGTAAAACGTTATCAATCTAAGAAAGAGTTGATGTTTTATTGTCTTCTCTCCAAATAAAGCATAAATATCACTGACCAACTATATTTGATTTTTGAATTATAATTATATTCCATTCCTCCAGATGATATTACTACAGTTTATGTTTATGAGTTTATGTTTAATGATGCTAACATAAAATTAACATTTTATAACTGCATATGTTATCGTTTTTTGTTTTTTTTTGTTTTTTTTTTTAATTTTTGCAGAGTATGCTAAGAATTATCTGTTTATGTCTCAAAAATTATTTTTTATTATAAACAGAACTGTTTACAAGCAGTGTACACAAACATGCTATAGAAGTGAATGTTGTGCGGGCTATTCCGGAAGTTTCTGTAGCACCCGTAAGTTGAAAACGTTTGCTCTGAAATCTGATGTATAAATCATTTAAAACGACGGGCTTACGACGAATACATGTTTCTAAGTTTGTACACCTTGTTAAACAAACAATAAATGTTTGTTAAGATATTCTAAACAAATGCACTGCATCTTCCCGAAAAAAATCTTATTTTTGTGATTGGTGAGTATGTCATAAATGACTATTCTATAAGGTTATCATAATTATAAACTATTGTAAAATTATACTTATATTATCATATGTATGATCTTTTATAATATTATACTTTCAATATGACAGGTATAAACTATTGTAAAGTTATACTTTATCATTTGTACAGCTTCGTGTTTTGGGTCATATTCGTGTCCTAACGGTGGAAAATGCCAATCTCCAGACATGTGTAGCTGTCCTCGTGGCTTCTCCTCGCCCAGGTGTTATGGTAATGAAATTCAATGACTTTTAACTTGTTAAAGATATATGTTCACGTTATATAAAAAGATTGATGTATTATATAACTGTACATACATTCTGTTGTTTGACATTAATTATACAACAATAAAACCGCAATTAGTCTTCTTGGTATAGCAAATTCCTCTTGAGTTTAATATGAGATCCAAACTATATTAACCGTGCAAAACATCAGTTTTGTTTCCATTAGAATAATTTTGAAAGTTTTGAAAATATCCCAAAGGTGATAAATGTAACTGACATTTCTGCAGTAATCACTCATTATACCTTAAATAAATGTCTCTATAAAGTCATTATGCATCACCCATTATTACACCTGCCATGAAAAGAGCTGAAGCAATCTTAATATTAATACTCAAAAGTTCTTATCAATTGCAAGAAAAGTAAAAATGAGGTTTATTCCCATATCGACTTCTACAAAACGAGAAATTTCACTTGTTTACTGTAGCGGATACTTACCCTAATCAGTAGAAAAACCATTGTGATATCACAAGTAAAATACGGAAGTGATACAAAAAAATTGAAATAATCAGACAAGCCACACAAACACGAACATTTAATAATTTAATTTAATTGCAAACGTTTGGCTATATGCCTTCATCAGTGCAAAACATATTTTTTTTTTTTCAAAAAAATTGAAGAATTTGGCAACATAGCCATTAAAATATAAAGTTCGAAAATAACAAAATGTAATGAGAGTATACGTGCAGCTTTTTCTAATAGTTATAATCTATCTTTTTGTTTAAGATATCAACGAATGCAGCAGCAGCGGTCATGGGTGTCAACACAATTGTGTCAATACTCATGGCTCTTTCCGTTGTAGATGTAAAGCAGGCTATACACTGACCTCAGATCTAAAATCATGTCAAGGTATTTTGCGGTATATGTGCATAATTGACAATTAATCAGACTGTAAAACTGATAAACTATAATGTTTTAAGAATTTCAAAGCGCTTTTGTTTCGTTTCTTTTTATATATCAAATATTGGCAAACTATTGTTAAATACTGCCCGATGACAACAATAACATATACTTTCAGATATCTAACATCATTTTTTTTGTTATAGTCGGGGTTTACGTCGTAACTACGTAGGTCATAGTTTCAAATTTCCAGGTTTACTAATTCAAGGAGTGTGGGGGTGTTTAATAACTGGACTAAATGCGTTGTAGTATCTAGATTCAAACAATCAAATATAGTGTCAACAACAAAAACAATGTAAACTTTGTAAAGTCGGAAGTGACGGTAACGTAAGCGCGGAACGTCACTTTATGCACGGCGCTATAAATGGCGTTATCATTATTAAGAAACAGTAATTAATATGTTAAATATCTATATGAAATACAGTCTCTCAGTCATGTATCACCTTTCATTTGAAATTTAGATTAATGCCTTTCGATGGTGTATAGTGTAACAATTGTACGATTTGTAAGTCCATTTTGAGTTCGAACTTTAGCACTTCGAATAAGTCCATCTTTTCCTGGCACGAGTTCTTCAACCACAGCAAGTTTCTATAATAAACGGGGAACATCGTCGTGGACCAATACAACGTCTCAGACGGATATCGTCTGGTCATTTTTGCCAGTAGTCTGATGACGTTCTCGTAAAGCGGTCAGGTATTCATGACGCCATCTATCCCGGAAGTGGTTGATTAACTTCGTTTGTATCGTAACCTGTTTGATAACTGAAAAACGGTCACTTTGCGTAGGGAATGTACATGTAAGGACATCTTCATCAGGGAGTTTGATTATTCGTCTGTCATAAAGTAAGTGTGATGGTGTAAGTACTTCTGGTTCATCTAAATTACCAGAACACAAATATGTCAACGGCCTAGCGTAAATCATTGCCTCGATTTCTGTGATAACAGTCTGTAAAGTTTCGTAGGTTACATATGAATGGCCTAGCACTATCTTTGTTGTTGTTTTCGTCAGGCCTATGAGACGTTCCGACATTCCACCAAACCAAGGCGCGCGTTTCGGTATCATCTTCCACTCAATTCCCCTGTTGTTGAGTTCTTCTCTAACTGTGAGTGAGTGAAACAAATCTCTTAGTTGTTTTGAGGCTGATATGAAGGAGTTTGCCTTGTTTGACATCATGACGTAAGGGACAGATTTTCGCAATGGAGCAAACAAGAAAAATCTGGAAACAAAGTGATCCCTCGGAAGCATTAATCTCAACAAAATTACAACAGAATTGCAGACTCGGTTTGATTGAGTCTGTACATTAGGGATAATGATAACGTGCACGTCCTCTAGCACCGGCTTGAGCGGTACTCAATTCTCAACACTTAATAGTGCTGGCATCAATGATCCCGAAGGACCAGAAAAATATAACAACACTGAAGTGAAGTACGGGGCAACTTTTTACAGCTGACACACAGCACTTGACACCTGCTGTTGTGAAGTATAAAAATCTGGAAACAAAGTGATCCCTCAGAAGCATTTATCACAACAAAATTACAAGAGAATTGCAGACTCGATTTGATTGAGTCTGTACATGAGGGATACTGAAAAAGTGCAACATCCCTCACACCCCCTAGCACCGGCTTGAGCGGTACTCAATTCTCAACACTTAATAGTGTTGGCATCAATGATCCCGAAGGACCAGAAAAATATAACAACACTGAAGTGAAGCCCGAGTTTCAGCCATTACCAGAGTAGATTGGTTGTCTCTACAGATGTAAGCCGTAGCACCATACGATACCAAACTAGCGTCGCAGAATATGTGAATGCACTAGATGTGTCTGATGTATTTTCGAAGTAGTATTTCTAGGAAACGTGTTTGTCACGGAATTCAAGTCTGTAAATAAACGATGCAATTGATATAGTGACACTATTTTTCTCGAATATTGTCAGGTAATGGCATATCCCATTCAATCTTTTGTTGCCATAACTCCTGTATTTTTTATCTGATGGAATCATAGATTCGAGATGTTTGCTGCAATATTTCTTTCTTTGTTACAAGTTGGGTATTTGGTATGTTTCTGACCGGATACAGTAAACGTCATACTTTTGTCCCATTTCATTTCAAGTACCATAGGAGTTTGAGCGTTATCTAATACCGACTCGCTGATTGCCTGTATTCTAAGCCTTTTACTGTTTGGACTCCAGGACCTATAGGTAAAATTAGCTCACGTGACTCGCTATAGAATTGTATTAGTTCTTCTTCCTGTTGGAAGCTTGATATCACATTGTCAACGTATAGATCTTTACGTAAGTATTCGCTAGAAATGTCGTTGTTAAGTTCAAGATGCTTAAGTATAGTTGCGCAGAGAATAAAAGAGGACGATGTAGCCCCAAAAAGGACTGCTCGGAATCTATATGTTGTCAATTCGCTGTTGGGGTTACTAGGATCACTGAGCCGTAGAAATCGCGTCACATCTCGGTCGTTTTCGTCAAGAATAATGTTGAGGAAAGCTTTCTCAATATCGGTTGCTAAGGCGTATTTATTCACTCGAAAAAGAATAAGAATTCCAGTAAAATCATTCAGTTCTGGTGGTGTCGACATAAATTAATCGTTCAGACTAGGCTGGTCACCTGACTTACAACTGCAGTCATACACGATGCGGATAGGTGTCGTGTTCGATTCCTTCTTTACATAATGATGTGGTATATAATGTACAGGGTTTGATGTGGTAACATTTGTATCAATTTTTTCAATACAAGAGCGATCAGTAATCACATGTGTCGTCTCATGATGGCCAATTTCATGTTGGGACAAGTTTTGAGACATACGGACAAGACAGACGGAACTAGTGCACAACTAGACTTGGTACTGATCATTCCTGTAAAGTTTGAATAAAATTGCACCAGTGTTTTTTAGGAGTAGTCTGGACAAGCTTTGTGTATCTGGCAACACACAGAAAAAAAAACCTTTTTATCAAAGGGCCAAAAATCATTCAACCGCAAAACCCGTGCAATATGCGCAAGGACTTGAGCTACAGATCAATCCTGTAAATTTTATTGAAATTGCATTAGTGGTATAAGAGAAGAAGTCCGGACAAACTTTAAAAATAAAAAATATTGAAGGGCCATAACTCTGACAAAAATCATTGAACCGTAAAATGCTGACAATATGCACAACTAGACTTGGTACTGATCATTCCTGTAAAGTTTGGATGAAATAGCACTAGTAGTTTATGAGGAGTAGTCCGGACAAGCTTTTGTGTATCTGGCACCACACAGAAAAAAACACCTTTTTAACAAAGGGCCATAACTCGGCCAAAATCATTCAACCGGAAAACCCGTGCAATATGCGCAAGGACTTGAGCTACAGATCAATCCTGTAAAGTTTCATTGAAATTGCATCAGTGGTATAAGAGAAGTAGTCCGGACAAACTTTAAAAATAAAAATTATTAAAGGGCCATAACTCTGACAAAAATCATTGAACCGGAAAATGCTGACAATATGCACAACTAGACTTGGTACTGATCATTCCTGTAAAGTGTGGATGAAATTGCACCAGTAGTTTATGAGGAGTAGTCCGGACAAGTTTTGTGACGGACGAACAGACGGACAGACAGACAGACAGACGACGGAGAAGTGATCCCTATATGTCGCCACTGTCGCCACTATTCCGTAGAGGCGACACAAAAACCGCGTTTCAACTGATCGTCTATGATTTGTCTATAGTTTTAAAGTAAATCCGGTGGTACTGAAAATCGTTCAATTGTGTTTTCGGCACGCTTTCTGCAAAAATTTCGTTATTTGTAGGAAGTACGCAATGAGCTCCATTCCAGCGCGCTTTTGCAACATAACGACCATCTTTGTACGTGATATAGTTTTCTTTATATGCGTTAAGTATACCGGACGTAGATTTCTCAGAATCATTTTCTTATATCCCCATAGATTCTAACACAGAATCTCTCAAGATCTGTGACATTAGGTGGCGCAGTTATAACATTAAACATATAGCTAACAGACGACGCATTTTTAACTTCGGGGAGAGGTCCTGACAATGAATAACCGAGCTTTGATTTCACTGCCGTAGGTTCGTTACCCCTAACGACCTTATTCTGCACTATCTGCCAGAAATAGTCGGCTTCGACCAAGAGTGATATCTCGAAATCGTCGTCAATGGCGGTAATAGGATGGGCAAGTTTGAGACCTTCATTATATTTCAGGCAATTCACATTGCTCTGTAAGTTAGGCAATGGTACAGCAATGGTTGGTACAATCAGTTCGTCAAGTGGTATAATTTTACTATGTTCGACGTGTAGAAACACTCTGTCTGTGGGTATATGACGACACTGTCCTGATTTGTTACAAAAGATGCAATTGATATAGTGTCCGAACTGGTCGGTTTTAATTTCAGTTTCTCAGCAAGCCTTTCCGTAATAAATTACCTTTGAGCACTTTCGTCAAATAATATGTTTGTATTAGTTATCGTATGGTTTTGGGAACTTACTTCAGCGACTGCAGTCTTGAGAAGAATGTTCGATCTTTGATACGTAGTTGAATGAAGAATGGCAGTTCCTGCATTTCCTGTTTGACCGGAAGTAGGGTTTGTGAATGATGCTGCATGCGGTTTCAAACTAAAAGATAACAAACTAACTGGTGACAAATTCTTGAATGGTTCGTTCGCTGGCATTTCATGCAACGGAAATATGAACAACACTCTGAAACTATGTGCTTTCCAAGGCAATCATAACAGAGACGATTATATTTTATGATAGTTTTTCTTCACGTATTTTAACCTATTCACAATCAAGCGAATTGAAGTCACCTTCACAGAACAAACACAATTTCGTACCTTTATAATTATCACGTTTGTGCGAAAATTGCTTAGCTGGGTATTTTTTATTTCCTGTTCCGGTGAATAATGATGCCGTCGGCATGTTTGGTTTACTAGTTTCGTTAGCTTTTCTCATTTCTTGAATGTCTATTTCTGTGGCGAAAGCAGTTCTCAAATATTGTATGTGCCATCGTACATTTACTTGATCTCGAGCTAAATGTCGTCGTTCTTCGGAGGGAAGGTTTTTTCCATGATTATGGGTACCAATAAATCATCATAGGAACCTTGAAATAAAGTGAAACAGAATCTCTAAAGAAAGCCCAACACAGCAAAATAGAAACTGTTCCAAGATCGGTTAATTAAGCCTGTTCATAGACGGTACTGAAAAGTGCAAGTTATCGTCAACAGCCCCTAGCACCAGCTTAAGCAGAATTCAACATTTAACACGGAAATGGTAAAATTTTGATTTAGAAACATCCGCAGATACGTTCAAACGGCAGTTATCATGGAACCTCCACTGTGACACAGTAGCGCCTTTCCATGAAAAACGGCATATGGTCCCCAAGTAAAATAATACATGTGCCCTAAACGAGAAAACAATGGGCGGAAATAAATTAAATGGAATTTTGAAAGGAGATCTGAGGTTTTGAAGCCTGCATATCACAGATATGACAAACTTAAAAAGCAGGCAACATATCCCAAGGGTGATTATACAGTATTCAAGTAGAAATACTGGAACCACCAAAGTTGAAAAAGGCAAAATAGCAAAAACTAAAAATACCATATAACATGCATACACAACAATAAGGTCGTGCTGAACGCCCTTCAAGGATCGGAAATGTACATCTTAATAAATAAATGTACGTAGAGACTTTTTACCACACGACACAAATGACACTGACGTGAATATAACAGAGAAGTTATAATAAAACAGAATCTCTAAAGAAAGCCCAACACGGCAAAAATTGAAAATGTTGCAGGCTCGGTTTGATTGAGCCTGTTCATGGACGGTACTTTTGAAAGGAGAGCTGAGGTTATGAAGCCTGCATATCACAGTCAAGATGTCAAAAGACAAATTTGAAAAGCAGGCAACATATCCGAAGGGTGATTATACAGTATTCAAGGAGGAATACTGGAACCACCCAAGTTCATTGAACGCCGCCTTTCCTTGATGACCAAAGTTGAAAAAGGCCAAATAGCAGAACCTAAAAATACCATATAACATGCATACACAACAATTAGGTCGTGCTGAACGATCTTCAAGGATCGGAAATGTAACATCTTTGATTAAATGTACGTAGACACTTTTTTACAGCCGCCACACGACACAAATAACACTGATGTGAACATAAAATAGAGAAAAACAGAATCACTTAAAATCAAGTAAAATAATGCATGTGCCCTAACCGAGAAAACAATGGGCGGAAATAAATAAAATGGAATTTTGAAAGATATCTGAGGAAATGAAGCCTGCATATCCCAGATAAGACGTCAAAATACAAATTTAGAAAACAGGCAACATATCCTAATGGTGATTATACAGCATTCAAGTAGGAATACTGGATCCATCAAAGTTAAAAAAAGGCCAAAAAGCAAAAACAAAAAATATCAAATAACATGCAACCACAACAATAAGGTCGTGCTGAACGATCTTCAAGAATCGCAAATGTAACATCTTTTATTAAATGCACGGGGAGACTTTTTACAGTCGCCGCACAGCACAAATAACACTGATATGACCATAAAAAAAGAAAAACAGACTCCCTAAAGAAAGCCCAACACGGCAAAATTGAAAATGTTGCAGGCTCGGTTTGATTGAGCCTGTTCATGGACGGTATTGGAAAGTGAAAGTTACCGTCCACGCCCCCTAGCACCAGCTTTAGCATAATTCAACATTAAACACGAAAATGATTAAATTTGGATTTAGAAACATCCGCAAATGTGTTCATACGGCGGTTATCGTGGAACCTTCAAAGTGACACAGTAGTGCCATTCCATTAAAGGCGGCGTATAATCCCTAAGTAAAACAATGCATGTGCCATAACCGAGAAAACAATGGGCGGAACTAAATTAAATGGAATTTTGAAAGGGGATCTGAGGTTATGAAGCCTGAATATTACAGATAAGACGTCAAAGGACAAACCTAAAAGCAGGCAACATATCCTTAAGGTGATTATACGGTATTAAAGTAGGAATACTGGAACCACCAAAGTTGAATAAGGCCAAATAGCCAAAACTAAAAATACCATATCACATGCATACATAACAATTAGGTCGTGCTGAACGATGGTCGTGAGTTGAAATGTAACATCTCACCTAAAGATTCTACAAATCAAATGTAGTTTTCCATTTTGTCGTAAAAACATGCGTAGACTCGTTACACTGTTGTCTGGATTTGGCAAATCTAAAAACGACTGCATATAACCATTATTTTATGAGACTGTCCGAATATTTCTTGTAACAAATCTATTGCATTCTGTTTATTTCCGTTAGTCAATGGAAAACCTGCTATGGCGGAATATGCAGTGTCTTGTAGTAAGGAGCATAAATAGTTGAATTTTTGTACATCAGACAGTGTTTAATTCAAATGCACAGCAGCTTCATACGAGTCCCAAAATGATTGTCATATTTCAACATCTCAATCAAACGTAGGTAAACTCAGTTCAGGTAGTCTGTTAAAAATGAATTATCCGACGACATCCTTTGGTTATTTTTAGTAAAGTTCTCACTTGATGAAGTTCTAGCACTACCGTTTATGTCCTGTAAATTACGGATCACGCTGCCGCTGCCAGTGTTATTAGATTTGGTAATATCTTCCTTCAATTTTCGTTGTTTCAATCGTAAATCAATAGCATATTCGTCACTCCCTACCAATTCTGTTTCAAAGTCGTCAGTATCTGTATGATTAACAATCATATCGTTGAGTTTCTTGATAATCTCGGCTTTTTCTTCCATGATTTCCAGCAGGGCTGTCTTCTTCGAAAGTGACAACTCGTCGTCGCTGGCTCTCTCTTGTAGAAAGAAGCTTTCTTGTAGAAAAGAAGCTTTTGTAAATTCATTGTGATTGTAGACTTTGTCACGGCACCAACAATGTGGGGGTGTTTAATAACTAGACAAAATGAGTCGTAGTTCCAGATTCGACCTTTACTGATCAACAATCATATATAGTGTCAACAACAAAAACCATGTTAAGTCAAAAGTGACGATTACGTAAGCGCGGAACGTCACGTTATGTAAGGCGCTATAAACGACGTTATCGATTCCCGACAAGGATCCTTCAGCGTCTATCCATGCATTATTAAAGGCATGAGCTGAGTAAAACCATTAGCACTCTCTTAGCTATCTGGAGAGCTTACTCGTATAAAATAATCTAAATCCATGTGTAATTTAACATCATAGCCGGAAAGGGCAAGTGGTTTGAAGTCATGGACTTTTACGATATCTGAGACCTCAAAATTCTTCTTACATATACACTTAAATGTTTTCAAAAATAAAAAAGCCTTAACTGACTACAAAAAAAATCAAAGAAAAAATATCATTTTCTTAAATAGCCATATCTGTGTTTAATTCCACTATTTTGTTTTAATAGAACAGACTTTTATATATATAATTGTAACATTTTTAAAGAATAGAAAATACTTGCATAATTTGTTAAAAACAAATGATTAATCATTGCATATATTAATCAAAATAGCCGTTCGTTGATCTTTGTTTCGGAAACTGCAAAACTAAAAAGGGTATGATTTGCAATAACTGAACCGAACATATGAAATATATAAAGAATGTGTATGACTAAAGTGTAAGAGAAAGACGGTTAATATTATTCTTCATGTCATTGCTTTTGTAGTTTTGTCTACAAATAATATTATATAGTATTAATTATTTCTATTCATCTTTATCATTAACAGAATTTAAGAAATTAAAATTGTTCTTTAGAGTGTTCTTTACCCTGTAAATATTCGTCGCCTAGCTTTTCGTACTAAATGGTTGACTTATTATGCTTGACATAATATTATTCCGAAAATGTTACCCAGTGATAAGGCATTTATTCATTACTGTGATTAATGAAATGAATGTTTAGCAATATATCAATAAATAGCTTCTGTCATTCGTAAGTTATTTTATTATAAGACCTAAACGAATGCAATGTCAACAATGGAGGATGTAGTCAACAATGCAACAACAACGTTGGATCTTTCTCGTGTAGCTGTAGAGCAGGATACACACTTGGTACTGACGGACGATCATGCAACGGTAAGTCCTACAGAACAGACTATGTTTCTTTAAAGACGTTTTTTTTGAATTTGCAAAATGAATTATAATCTTGGCATCCGCTTGCCAGGCAACTCGACTTTATGAGATAATCTACGTACGTATTCCAGGTCATTAGTTTAAACAAACTTATTATCACATAGTTTTAAAGAGCTTATCCCAAATTTAAGTTATATATAAATGCCTTACAGTATATATAGTATATTCCATTTCACATAGTAAAAAAGTGAGAAGTTATGAAAATTGAATGATTATAAACACGTAAATGTAACCAAACCAGCTTTTTAATATTTAATGGTGATTGTAAGTTTTGAAATGTTTTAGATGTGGATGAATGCGTGCTCGGAACAGCAGCTTGTTCTCAGAAATGTGCAAACACTGAAGGTTCCTTTACATGCTCATGTAATACTGGATACACTTTAGGTGTTGACAGACGTTCGTGTGAAGGTATAATTTTTCTACAATAAAAAGGCTTACAGCAAATTTGAGCGAACGCCTTTGTTTGATTAAAATAGTAATAAAAATAAATGTAATAGCAAATATAACAAATATCAAAAGCAGTTTAAAACAGTTAATATATTTCAATTTCTTTTTATATAATCTATACGATAGAAATGTAATACACACTATGATGACACATGTTTTATTCTTCAAGTAAAATAATTATTTTGTATGATCTATATTCATAAAGGAATCAAATTATGACAATGATTAATAATCAATTCTATATTATTTTAATTCATGACTAGATGTCGACGAGTGTGTTGATGGAACAGCCAAATGCGTTGGTTACTGCAACAACACCCCTGGATCTTACACATGTTACTGCGACCCTGGTTATATACCTGACAATACCGGCTATTTCTGCAAAGGTTGTTTCCGTCTTCTTTCTATCTATTTGTGCTTGTATCCAAGTCTATAGCTCTTTTGCATGTATCCATGTTCATCGCTTTATATTATTTCTAATCACTATGTGAAATGGAAACTTTAATGCTAAATTAAATTCAGGTCATAACAAATGAAGAGAGGTTATTTTCGCATAACATTTTGTCTATTTTTTCTCTCCGTTCGACTTTGTGATTCACTGACACGGTATTGATGCAGTCTTCTAGCTTTCCGGAAGCTCTTGCTTGAATTTTATCAGGGAAAGTGTGGAACACCTACTGATTATACATTTGTTTGTTATTTCACTCTGTACGTGCTTGTTGAATTCTTATCATAGTAGTAATGATCCACTGCACTACGCTAGACCACAAAAAGATTTATTTTGTCTAAATATACATTAAATCATCAAGATGGTGGTCTAAATTGATCGTGTCGGGTGCTGCGTTCTGTGAACTTTGCTTTGCGTTGCTGATATTTATTCTCATTCTTTTAAAAAAAACTTATGTTTATCCGTATAATCAAGACGTGAATGAGTGTGACACTGGAAACGGCGGATGTGCTCAAACATGTATCAATGAGCCAGGTTCACACAGGTGTGAATGTCGAAACGGATACAAAGCTGTGTTTTCAAGTACAGATAGCGAAGTGTGTGAAGGTAAGATAAACGTTTATAAATGTGCAAAGATAAGTTACTAGATTTATTGATGAATATATAGAATGAAAAAACTAACTTCATGCCTGATGTGTTTTCCAATACACTATATTACAGTCATAAAATAATATTTGTTACATCACTATGCTTTGGTAAATCCTACCATTATATAAACTTAATACACGGATGCCGTCAATTTATGCAGAAATCTCTATTTTTTAAAGAAAATAAGTTTGCGAAATTATGAATTTGTCATAAATTCTTGCTATGTTATATGGCCTGTTAAAACAGTGGTTTGTATTATATTGTACGCCTAGCGGATCTGGCGCGGGTTTTATATGCAAGCAATCGTTAAAATATGATAAACGAAGCAGCCATAAGTCTTTATTACTATTAATATACATCTAAGTTAATTTTCAAAATGCTTAAACTTGTTGACTGATTTATGTGCTTATTACATACGATTATTCTATGCAACTTTGTATTATGTTCCATGTTTGTAAGTTATATTAAGTTAATGATGAATACATTCATACCATTGGAAATATATACTGTCTATTGGACTTGTGTGTATGTGCGTGCGTGTGTGTATGTGTTATGTTGTAGGTGTGTACTATGAAATGATGAAACACACTTTTTATTCATATAGATATAGATGAATGCATTGAATCAAGTGCATTATGCTCTCAAATTTGTGACAACACAGTTGGGTCCTTTAAGTGTAGTTGTTATAGTGGTTTCAACCTTAACACAGATGGTTTTTCTTGTATAGGTTAGTATGCATTTATAAAATAATATACGCTTTTAATAAACAGAGATAAACACCTCACTTGATCTAACTACATGTCCTTGATTTACATTTGTGTTATAGCAAACAAAATATGTTTGTGGAACATTTCACTACCATTTTTCGGTCACATACAGTTTAAAATTAATTTCGTATAGTAGTGAACGGTAAAATAAGAGTATATAGATAGTGTTGATAAAAATCAAATTAGAATTTCCTTTTTGTTACCAGGTGAATATATGATCGTTATATTTTTCTAGCATGAACATTTCCACTGAAACCTAACTAGTGAAAAATTTTAGCTTCTAAGTGTTCATGATTGTGTCGAGACAGCTTCAAGCATCTGAACAGGCTAAAATGTAACTGAACTTAAATCAAAGTGTGTATAAATTAAATCTCCAGGACACATAAATAAACCGAGAGAGGAAACAAAGACGAAAAGGAAATGGGCGCAGCTGTCAATATATATCAACTTCATATGGACATTAAATAAAAATGTAATTGTATATAATGATTCAAAAGGTTATAACTGTAAGTATTTTCTGACATTTTCTTAAACAAATGTGGTCAATACAAAAAGAGCTCAAAAATATTCAATTAAATTACAGACGTTGATGACTGTGAAGGCGTTGTATGCATGAACAAAGGTACATGCGTTGATGGGTTGAACAAATACACGTGTACGTGTGAAACAGGTTTCCACGGCAAACACTGCGAAACAGGTGAGTAAACTCCTATTAAGACACAGTTTATCAGTGCGTTATGATGACTGACTGGCCAAGATACTCTACATTCCACAGATCTAACAGCGTCAACATTTTCTGGTCCTTTAATAATATTATTGCAAATACTCTGGTATTCTCATATTCATTTAAACTCCGTTTTACTATGGTCACAGCAACGTTTTTGTCACCAAAATAACATTTCGTTGTTCATTTATTAACTCAATTTATCGGTAAAGAACTTTCTAGTCAATAAGAATATCATAATTATATAACTCATCACGTCAACAGTTAAAATGTTGCAGTCTCCAACGACTGATGTCATCTTGTCAAGGTTGGCTTTTAACATATCTAGCTAAATTAGACGTTTATCAAAATAACATTGCTATGATATATACCTGAAGATTAATGTTCAATCCGATAAGATCGCTGAGTTACATGTGACAGTGTACATTTAAAGCAGTGATAACCGGCGTGTCGAATTCATCATTATAAGATTGGTTTTTCAAAAATGATGTCGAATGAACACTGCATTACTTTGAAATTTAAAAAAGCGAATACACTGTCTTTAAAATCATTCTGATGGTTGTAATAAACATAAAAATCCAACGAATTTTATACGATTAAACTGCTATAAGTATCAATTACATTTAATTATTAACAAAATCAGTACATCTTTATATTTTGTTTCCATTATCAACGCATTCCCAGCCAACATTCTTTATCGGCCCGACATCAAACCGACATGGTTTTCTATGACGGTCCGATGTCGGCTTTAACCTCGGCTGCAAATAGGAATGATGTTGGCCCGACATCGGCAGCACAATATCGGGCCGATATCTTAACGATATAGGCCCGATATTTCTTGCCGACATCGGGCCTACATCAAAACAATAGCGGTGCGATGTCAGCCAACAGTAGAAAGATATCGGTCCTATATCGACCAGGTATCATCCTTATGCTAGCATGTTGATGACATCTAGCAGCAAGCATTTGGCATAACCTGCAAAAACACAAAATAAAAGATAATTATTTTACAAAATAAGATAATAAAGACATATATATTTTAACTTAAATGTGCAAATGACATGCATGTCGCGAAATCATGTGACAAATATTTTCAAACATAATTTTACATCTAAAAAAGAGACAAACAGATAAATTGTGTTTTTCCAATAATTTTAAGTGTAAAAATCAAATTATTAACAGCGTTTACAGATTTGTTGAATCATCATTACATTAATAAAAAAACATGCTTTTCATCACCTTCCTTTGTTAGCTCTTAATCTGTTAATTGTAGGACTGCAGTGAATATTTACAAGCTTTTCATTTAAATTATAATAAAAGAGTGATTTTTATGTAGTCAAAACATAAATATTGAATTTAATAACAAACCACATATCATTTCCAAACTTAACTATGATTATTTTAGAAATTCATATCAAATGTACAATTATTTGCTGCATGATTTACAATTCAACAGAAAACGCAATATCGTACCAATGTCAATGCGATATACAAAATAGTTGCATTGATAGGTCATGTAGGCCCGATGCAGACCCGATGTATATTTTTTGATGTAACACGAAATGTGGTTAATGTGGTTCTAGTAATTGAAATCATACACAGGTATATATTTATTCACATTGTTAAGTAAACAATACCATTGCAATTAGAATTTTTCAAAATACTCAATATTTATAATACTCAATAATACGCACTGAAGCGGTCCGACGTCGCCCAATAGTCAGCATATTTTGCCGACATGCCGACATTAATCCTATATCGGCCCGATATGATCTTGCTGGCTGGGTTAAATACACTGATCAGAAGGTTCTCAGTTTTGAAATGGTTTATATATTTTTAAATGAGTTTACTTCAATCGGCAGCACAGGCTTTGCTCATTAAAAACTTGATACAGATCCTATAAAGAACTGTAAATTTTAATATATATTGGTTAACTTTTAGATATTAATGAGTGCGAATTCGCAAATGGGGGTTGTCAAGAGGTATGTACAAACTCAGAAGGTTCGTTTTACTGCAGTTGTATAGGAAATCGAGAGCTAAGGGAAGATGGTTTCTCGTGTTTTGTAGGTAAGCAGATAGATCATAAGCATTGCTCAAGATTTAGAATATGAATATTATACAGCATGAGTTGTGTTGTCAAAATTTTGGCAATAATCATTAGCAGGCAAAAACTTTGAAGACGTGTATATAAGAACTACAACATTATATCGTCTGGTGTTATGGACAAAGTGATGATGATCTATTTGAATAAGCTGAAAAATGTGAAACTAAGATTGTTGTTAACAAAGTAAGGAAAATTGGAATTTAGTAAATTTGATATCACTTACTTTTTTAGAAACTTATTAAGACTAATAGGATATTCGATATGCTGGTTATATACATGAAACTTAAAACTATCTAGCGTTTGATGTTTAACTTTAGGGGAAGTAGAAGAGCAGACTGTGTTTGAACGACTCGAAATTCCTCGACAGCTCCTGCCGAAAGCGTGTTTCACTGTAACGCTTGCCCAATGCGTAGATGGAAATGCCATTACAATTTATTTAAGCTCTACAGCGCACTGGTATAAACTGCATGTAGATCAAAACCTGCTGTTTACACATGGTGTTGTTTTTGCTAACGTAAACAATTTCTCTGTACCAATATCACTAAAGGGACTTGAGGTGATTGTAAGAAATGGCGAGTTTACGTTAAATTATGGGTCGCTGCACGAATTTACTGAAGGAGCAATAATGGAAAGTGGAAAAACAGACGATGGTTGTGCAGCGTTTGATCTTGTTGAAAGTGATATATTCGATTTCATAAGTATGGACTCCTTTATGAAGACTTTATTATTTTCGCTCTTTCCTGCAATGCCTTCCTGGCTAAGATTTGAAAAATCAAGAAGTGAAGTTTTGTCTATTCAAGATACAAAAAGTACTCTTGTTTATGGGAGAGACATGGATGATGTTTCGTGGTGTGACGGTGCACCAGTTATATCAAATCATTTATACACGGTATTTAGGTTTAGTACAGGATTTAAGCTCAATATATTAGGGGATGTGATAGACATACCAAAACCATTAAGTTCGAGACGATTTTGCTTGATTGTCGACCTTTGCCAACATAATGGCGGGACAGTGTTTTTGATGATACCAGATGGTTCCCGAGATATGTTTGTAGACATCAGCATGTTCCAAGTGCTTAAAAATAGACAAAACTTGCACATTCGTCCGAGAGGAATTGGAATTTCATTTTTGAAAGGAATAAATGCAAATTACCAGACATTATCTGAACAACTCTGGAACGGGGACACAATGTTTACACCGTATGCTTAACTCCATTTATCTTAATTATAAGAGATGTCGCATTTTCTTTTGATTGTAGTTGAGTATCATTTTAAGAAGAAATAATGTAAAAGGAGATAAACAGGATCTACCTAGTCGATATAAAATCCCATGCGAGTTACTACTGTTTTGTCTCTTTCAGACAAAAAGTAATTGCGTTGGCCGTCCTATAGTTCGCTCAAAATTATGTACGGATCTTATATATGTCGTTTTATCATTGCTTATCATTCTTTTCTTTCACAAATATTTACTAGCATGCAACTTGTAAGGTGGTAGAGTAATATTCGTAGCACAAAGGTCAGGAATCTTATGGTTGTATGTAGTAATTAATTTTGATATTTTAATCATTTTAGTGTTAATTTCTTGGCGCATTTACGACCCCTTTGAAATGTCATACAGATTATATTGTCTTGGACATATCAAACACATCTTGCAATTTGTTTGCTGATATATTGGTATCAGCAAATCAATCATTTAAATGCATCATTTCTGTGTTAGCCTTTTATCGACTTGATTGTCAATGTATATCTAGTCTATTTTCTAGTTTGCGTTGTTTAAACTGTTCTTTAATTTAATGTTTTTACAATGAAGAATTCAGCCTAATGTGAATGTCTGGATAGGTGGTGATATCAGCAAATATGACAATCTTTTTACAGTGGAAGGAAACGCTGATATATATTTTGGTGTTCCAAGCACTCAAACAGTAAGTGTTATTTTCAGTTTTTCATTTTATTTAGATTTTAAGTTTGCGACCCAAACCTAGTTACTCTGTTTATGCACTCTGTTAATATGTTTTGTCATTCGAATCATTTCAAATTTGTACGTGCCATCACAATCATTGAACCTCATTTTCATTTCTAAAATCATATCAATATCATGGTTACACAAACACTTTATGTTTAGCTATGTGTTGTCAAACAAACAGTACATCGATTCATATTAACAAAACTTGTACAAAATAAAAGAGATTATTTTCATTGGATGGAATTTACGTCGCATCGATACATATTAGTTCATATGTCAATCGGGAGAACGACGTTAGGTAACCTGTCGTGAATAATTTCAGACACGAACGGGCATCTGAGTTGAAACACCGACCGTACGTCAGCTAATTCAATATTTTCCTCACATGAAATAATCGAAAGTCCTTTTCGGCGGTGATGAGCAATTGATTACAAGTCAACGACCTTAACCACTCGACCACGGACGCCCCTAATATATGATTAACGTAAGTTATTGTGTAAAATGAACGACAGTAATTTATTACATCAAACTATACATTAATATATTCAATAATATTTCATCATTAATAAGATATAGAAAATGTAATTTTATATAATATTCAAATATTGTTTACGAAATCAAAGAGAATAAAGCTAATTATAAACATTTCTTAGCGTTATGTGTCAAACATTTCCGAATTAAGTAATAGTGTATATACCACAACGAATTCCTTAATGACTATTTCATACTTAATCAATAGGGTAAACATTGATTGTATTAGAAGTATATAATGCATCAAATCATATTGCAGAGCAAAAAAAAATTAGTCAAAGTCAAATTATCCTTTATGAAAAAAATACAAAACAAAAACAAAATACAAATAATTTCAAGTAACCATCGTTATTATTCGCGGTGGCATGTCGGTTATATTCGTTGTAAAAGTTGCATGATATTTTACATACCGGTATTGTGCAAAACATTGACGTAATTGTGTTTCCTATTCAAATGGTTATAATGAATAATCTTAATGTTTATAAAGTTAATTTATTTTTTGCACATAATTTGTTAATAAAACGAGTGGTCAATCATATGATAATTGTATAGTATAAGAGCTGTCCAAGCGCAAAATTATGTGCTTAGCCGCCGTGAGCACTTTTCATCAGATGCGGTTCCCATACCACAGGAATATCTTCATAAGTACACTAAACAAATGCTATAGTTGTTTTAGAAGATTTGGACACACAATATAAGATGTTGACTAACAAAATAATATAACGAAAGTCAAATACTAAGTTAAACGTTTTGGCGTATCGATCCCTTTAATTGTTTATATATTTGGATTTAATCTAAATGACTGTTTAAATTTGTAGATATTAACATCAATGTTTGTAGAAGAGTGGACAGGATTTATCGATATCCAACTATCTTTGTCACCTATTCTCCGATTTGATTTATTTGGCAAGGAACGTTCTTTGACCTTTCAATTGCTTAAATATACTGCAAATGCGTATATTTCTATCGGAGGTAAATTCTTCAAGTAGATGCATATCAGCAAAAATGTTCATAATGAATTTATTATAATTTACTTTGTGTCACGAACTGTCTTGTGTTTTATTTTAAATTTTATTCATTTTATTATTTAAATTGTAAAACAGATTTAAATGGATAAATGTACTATCTTTATTAAGTAAAAAATGAGTATTCCCCTGTAATGAAAATGTCATATAATTATGATAGTGTGTATCATTAATCTTTCTTTTTCTAAGGTTCAAGTCGTCAATGGTGTGGTGATGGTTCAAACCCAGAAGGATTGTTCCTCTCATTAATGGTTGAATCGAACCCATTTAAGGGAATACCTTTTCTTGAAGACTTTTCTCAAGTAAATCGTGTACATTTGTTCATGAACACAGATCCAAAAGATAATCCTTTAGAAGGAATACAGTTTAGTATAGCAAACGATATACTCGAACTTGACAATTTCTTAAACAAAACCACAGAAATACTTAACGAAGGATTGTTAAATACCGAACTCGCCGTTTCAAATACAATTGAAACAGTTGTTGTACAAATAAAAGATACTTTATATATAATTAAGACAAAAATACACGTACATTTAAATGATTTGTTTACTGGAGACTATAAAGAGCTGATCAAAGATATCAATGGTATCCACAAAAACCTAGAACATATAAGGTCAGCACTTATTGTTTTAAAAGATAGAACTGAATTTGTTATAAATGAATCGAAAGATCATTTTGTAAAACTACTAGATGATCATGTCAAAATGATAGAGGATAATGTCAGAAATATAACGAAAATATAACTGATACTATTGTATCTTCTGTTGGAAACTACACGGGCTTTGGATTGAAGTTCACCTCAGACTGGACTTTTTGGGGTTTAAAACTCGTTGGATTCGACTTTGAATTGATATATTCAAGAGGAGACCTTTTCTGATGTAGCCGTTTTGAAGCCGTTAAGAAATTATTGGATGGAGAAAATGCTGTGCGAGTTCTAGGAAGGGTTTCATCCGTAAACAAATTTGGAAAATTTCTTAAAGGTGAGACCGGAGGAGGTTTAGCCATTGCATTTTCGACAACTTCGTCAACTGCTCTCTTGCAGTTGCAGGCACATATAAAAATGCTAGGTATTCAAGTAACTGGAGATCTTTTTATCAGCATAAAAGGTCTATATTTCTATTTAGAGGGAAACATCTGGGATATTTTCTTAGCTCAAATAGATGTTGAAGCGGCAATTGGGAAAGAATGGGATGAACTGACATTTCATCTTCGTGGACGATTTGTTGCAAAAGCAAGGAAACGCCGTGATTACATCACGGAAACATCATTGGTACAACTCCGCTATCAGTATTATCATAGATATCGTCGACAGGTACAAACAGACAGGTCTTCTTTTCAAAGCAGTTACTTAGATGCATTGAAGAAAGTTATCCGGATGATATCGGATGAAGCTCAAAAACGATTGACTCAAGTGCAGAACGCGCTCATATCAGCACAAAAAGACTTGACTAAAGCACAAGATTGGTTAGACAAAACACAAAAAGACGTCGGCGCTGCAAATGTTGTATTTGACAATGCTGTAGAAAAACTTGAACAAACAAAGCAAAAACTTGAAAATGCAAAGGGGCCTCTGCATGAGGCAATACAGAAATTGGAAAAAGAACAGCGAGATATCAATAATTTGTGTACAATAAGGTCATGCACAAAAATTTGCATACCTGGAATTAAATGTAGAATTTGCTACAAGAAAGTATGGTTTGCAAAGATACCTTATCCATGCTGCAAATTCACAAGTTGTATGATAAGTTTTCCAGATCCAATTTGCGTCCTGGCAAATATAGCTTGCCGGATAATTCGAGCTGCAGCTTATATTGTACTAGAATTGGCAAAAGTATTTGTAAGGGTTGCGATGCTTGCATATGATGTTGCTATAGCAGCTGTTTCAGTTGCTCAGTTCGTAGTAGATAAATCTCGTGTTGTTTTGGTTGTGGCAGAAGGAATTTTAGAATTAGCAAAAATTGGCCTGGATGTAGCAAAAGGCGTTTTAGAGGCAGCAAAAATTGCTTTAGAAGCAGTCAAAATTGTCATCGGCGCTGCTGCTGAAGTTCTTCAATTCGTCATAGAATATGGTTTGAAAACTATTATAGATGTTAAAAACTGTGGATTTGATATAAAAATGTCAGCAAAAGATCTTCCTGTATTTGAAGTTTCATGTGAAGTAAATGCATTTAAGCTCGGCTGGTCCGAAATTAAGTTAAAAATAAATTTCAAAAACATATTGCAAAGTATTTGGCAGGCAGCACGGGCAACAATTAAAGCTATAATTGATACTTTTGGCGAAATATTTCCTGATCGTAAACGTAGAGATATAGAGTTTGATGCCTCATCAAGAATGCATGTCTTGCTTCGCAAAATTCGGGAATCGGATGATGTTAACAATACCTTAAATAACTTTGATGGAACGATGGATTTGAGTAAAAATATTAGTGGCTTTCGTGGATCAGAAGATAGTAATTCTGGGAGTAGAGTAGAATTATATAGGGAAAAATGTTTAACAATTACATTGATACAGAGCTTTATGCAGGACTCTTTCAATTCTTTGCATGAAGTTGTAAATGATTCGAAAGCTTACATCGGAGAAATTGACAATGTAAAGAGGCAGCTACAAGAGTTCAGCAGTGTAAAAGTACCTTCTGACAATATGACAAGTGACAGCGTCGGGATAAGTAGCGAATTTGCTACTGCTGATTATAACATGACAGCTAATGACATTGACAAAGCAATCAATGATACAAAAACGGCAGCTGCTGAAGATCCACTACTTATTGAAATTCAGTCGGCGGTAAGTGTTTCAAGTAAAAGCGTGGATGATGAAATGAAATCTGTTGAGACAATTGATTATCAAAATGCCTGGTTTACGTCGATGAAAAATATGACAAGGGATTATTTCAATGAATCCGAATGCGAAGACTTCCAGGACTGTATATTTTACGCTATTTCCAACTTGTACGTTCTTTATGAATCAGAAACTATTCCAAACATATCGAACATCCAACAGTCAATTCTTGTTCTTGAAAGTATACTGATTGAAACATTTCAGAACGAATCCTCTTCTATAATTGATACAGCGTCCGCATTTGAGTATGTTCTCTTTAACATTAACAGACTTGTCAGTATGAATTTATTTTGTTCAGAGGCTCCCACGTTTGTAAAACAGCTCAACAACCAGACTGTCTTATACGGGAGCGATGTTACATTATTCTGCATTGCTATAGGCGATCCGGAACCTGATTTTATTTGGCTGAAAAATGAAACGATTATCCCAGGAGAAAGTTCCAATATTCTGACCGTTTTAAACGTTACAGAAATTGATACCTACGACAAGTACAATTGTATTGCTGGGAATATAGTGACTAATATCACCTCTTCTGATGCTTATATAAATATTGTTCTACAAGGTAAATACATATTGCATTATTTATAGAAATCACAAATCTTGAAAATATAAAAGAATGGTAATATCATGACCACCCAATTTAGCACATTAATTCCAAATCTTATTTTCTCTATTTAATCGCAGAGCATACCGTGGTTGCAATGGTTATAACTGTATAATTTGTGTGTACAAACACAATAATATTGTATGTACTTTGACAATGTAATATTTCCCAATATGAGTTGCTACTATTACAATCTTTTTTTTCAAATTAATTATGTACCGTTTTATATTTTAAACAGTTTATTTTCTTTAACGAATCATACCATAATTTTGTGCTAATATTTTTACAATTGTGTAATGCAGATGTAAATGAATGTAAACATGGTGGACATAACTGTACACACTTGTGTAATAACACGATAGGGTCATACATTTGCTCCTGCTTTGAAGGATATTCTCTTGATAAAG